ATTTTTGAGGTTTGGCACTTCTTTGGTGGAGTTTTGCTCTCCGAACTCCCCAATCCTACTCTTTATTCTCCCAATCCTAAAGTCCTAAATTACGGGACGTTTAATGCAAAGGTAGAGTTCAGCTCTTCTCTTTGGGAGCTTACAAAACTAAGCGGTCACGGACTCACCTGACGTCATTCCTGCCAAAAACCGAGCAAACAGGCTGAATTCAAATTGCAGGACTATTTTATCGAAACACAGGACGGCAGACGAAAAAATAGAAAGCCCGTTAATAATTAACACGGCGCATTTCCTGGAAAGACACGGAAAGAGGCACGTTCAGGAAACAGAAATTGCAAGGGCGCTATTGAACCATCAGCAGCATCCTGATTGTCTTTTTTAAAAGAACAGTTTGTCCCTGGAATTTCAAACATTAAACTACCTCTGCGGGGAGCTCTAACCTGCGTGCTGTAACCATCCAGATGTTGGCACCAGTGGAATTAGAGAGACAGGGCAGAGAAGATTAAAACTGGGGTCAGTTCTTATTGCTGATGCTAGAAGTCCCAAACCAATGATTTTCCGAGCAAATTAACGTTTCAAAATATATAGAATATTAGAATATTAAGACAGTTGGAGGTAGAAGGAAGATTCTCCCTTCACTCTTGGGTATGTCTGGTTTAAGGAAGAGAAGGATTAGGGGTGACTGATAACAGTCTTCCAATAGTTGAGGGGCTGCCCCAAAGAAGAGGGAGTCAAGCTATTCTCCGAAGCACCCGAAGGCAGGACAAGAAGTAACGGATGGAAACTAATCAAGGAGAGAAGCAACCTCGAACTAAGGAGAAATTTCCATGGCAGTTAGAACAATTAACCAGTGGAACATCCTGCCACCAGAAGTTGTGAATGCTCCAACACTGGAAGTTTTTAAGAAGAGACTGGACAGCCATTTGTCTGAAATGGTGTAGGGTTTCCTGCTTTTGTAAGGGGTGGGACTAGAAGACCACCAAGGTCCCTTCCAGCTCTGTTATTCTGTTATTTATTAAATATATATATTTAAACACAGCCCCTGTTAATCTTGGTCAATTCAAACCTTGGTTCTCTTTTCAGTGGATCAATAGGCTCTGTGTTCTGGGGCTTAGGAGCTGAGTGGGTACTCAGGAAAGGGGTTGATTTTACATGCCAATGTATGGCATGAATGCCAACAGAAACAGTCCAGAAATTCTGCTTAAGGTATGCCAGTACCTGCCATATCTATCTGCCAGACAGCTCCAAACATACACCCCAAAAATGCCTCCGAGGGGGTCGAAAATGCTGAATAATATTAAGAACTCAAAATTCACGGAGTCTTCGTTCTGAAGATTCAGCAGCTGCATCTTTATCTTAAAAACATAAAATGGAAAGCCGCATCAAACAGCACACAGCAGTGCTGCACTTCCTTCCCAGCTGCCTCCCTCCATCGCACCTAACAACCCTGCGAGGTAGGCTGTCAGCTCGCAGTCCCTAAGGGGAAGGGGAAGGGGAAAGGAAAGGAGGAAGGAAAAGAGAGGAGAGGAGAGGGAGGGAAGGAGAAAGGGAAAGGCAGACAATACCATTTGAAACCCCGATGGGGAGGGCTAAGCCAGCATCCGTGTGCCATGAAAACCGAGACACTGGGCCCACGCAGAGCAACCTCAGCAATGCTAATGCAGGTCAGCAGGTTGTGTGAATAAGTGCCAAGTCCCAAACCCAGGACCGCCCAGCAACACACAGCAGGGCTCACTTACCACAACGGGATTGGTGATCAGAGAGAACACGTATCCATACTGGAGAAACCCCAAACAGGCACCCACTATTGAGAAAATGAGTGGACGGGTCAGTTTCTACGAGATGGTACAGGAGGAGGAAAACAACACCACAATTCCTTGAGTGAAAAGGACAAAAACCAACACAACACCCACCACACATCTTAGACCTCCCCTCTCATTTCAGCCCTACAATTTCTGGCTTGGATGGGAACGAGGCTGATCTTCTGCACCTGCTTTTTTGTTAGGAAAAGCTAATTATTTCCCCCAAGTTAGGCTGCACCCCAGGCATCTCCTGGTGGCGTCTCATCCACAAACAAACCAGGGTCAATCCTGCTGAGTTATTAGGAGATTCCTAAAACTTGTCTAGGCACTGCAATTTTTTTTTTTAGAAAACAAACAATACACTGGAGTGAGAGCTTAATTTCTTCAGAAATTATTTATAATTTCTCTGCCCTGCCTTGCCCTGAAGCTTAGAAATAACCACATATCAAGATAAACCGCGACTTCAGCAGCCCTCCAAACTCACATTACTTCGGATTGTGGGTTCCGATTCCTCTTTCTCCTCCATCCTTCCGGGGTGATCGAGAGGAACACCTGATCGAGCAAAGGGGGGGGAAAAACAAACAAATTTGTCCCATATTTACAAACGATTCTGCCCCTGAACCCAGCCAGAGAACCTCCCCAAACTGTGCTCCCCGATGACTCCTGTTCAAAGGTAGACTGCTGCGGATCAGAGAGGCTCCATAGAGCTCGTTACCAATGACGGTCGGCGTTTCTCAAAGAGGAAATTAAAGGAAAGGGAACAAACATAAGCAAAAAGATTTTCCCGTCTTTTCTTTTGAACATTGTCTTGAGAGCTCCGCGTTCACTTCCTAACTGTTTTAATAAATTCCCCAAATTCGTTGGCACCCTCCCGGATCCTCACCTACTCCTGGTGCCAGATCTGGATTTTAAGGCTAGATTTATTTATTTTTTAAAAAAAAGCCAACTTACTGTTTTTGGGGGGAGTATCTTGGAATAAAAGGAGAAAAGCCACAACTCTCTTTTCTTTTGAAGGAAAAATGCTGGAGCAGCAGCGACAGCCAATCCGTGAAAGGAGGCGGGAACATTCCGGGAAAAGCGGAATGGCAGTTAGGGAGCCCTTTTGCATAAATTTCCATCCACTTTCAGGGACCGCACATACTTTTTCCCAGCGTTTTTGGTACAGAAAGTTTTTTTCCAACTTTCCTGTGTATCTGAGCATTCCCGGTGATCTCCTGTTGGTCTTCCATCCCAATTCTAAGCCTATTTATTTGCCCTTTCTTTCCCAGTCTGCCAAGATCACTTTTTAATGACTTGCCTAATTTAAATACCCCCATTTTTCCATGAAATGGTTGAATTAATTGACTGAATACTTTATTCGGGCAAGTGTGATTGAGCACGTAAGGAATTGGCCTCAGGGGCAGACCTTCCCAATGGGAGTCAAAACCAAGAAATCACGTGTTACCCAGGGAAAAATTGTTACTTAAATACAAGAAGGTTGTGAAAATCGTTTTAAAAACTTAGCAAACAACCAAAAGCGAAAGCGTGAAAATCTTTCACGCATCAACACTTACGCACTCAGACACACTTTTGAAGCAGCTTTGCCATTTTCTCTAAATTGAACTGCTGGAAGAAAACAAAATTAAAGCAGGGGGGAAAAAAAGTCAAAGAAAGAAAAAAAGCTCCATCTATTCAAGGCTCGTTTATTTAAAAAAAACAACACACACTTTTTGTTCAAAGGCCACCTTCAACGAGGCGGATGGAAAATTCAATCTTAATCTGTACATTTAAGAGTTTCTGTTGCATTGGTGTTTAAAACACACAAACACGCAGAGAGAAGTGAGGTATACAGAACGAGGGGAAAAAAATCAGCCTGGCCCAAAAAAATTTTTTGCAGCATTTATTCGAAGGCAAACGAAGCAGCGTCCCCCAAAATTGGGGGTGTCCACTGGAACCAGACATGTGAGAATCCATCACTTTCCTAGGTGGGTTGCGATAAAATAGAAATGAACCAATATGCACCCTGTTACAGTCCTTCCAGATGGGAAGACTATACCACCTTCAAGTATCAAACTTGGATGCTTCGTTTCAAGAAGAAAGTTGTAGGCAGCTGCTTGACTCCAACATCCATCCCTGATCAGGCTAGTTGAGGATGATGGGACCTGTAGTGTCTCTCTCTCTCTGTCTTCTCTGATTTCCAAATAGGGCATTGACAGCCACGCCTCTTCTCTCCCCCTTAAACGTGGGTCGTCTTGTCCCTTAACATTTAATTCAACACTTTCTCCTCTTTTATTCTTAACGCCCGAGTTAAAAAAAAATAAAAACATGTCTTCGTAGCGTCTTTTTTAAAAAAAGGAGAAAAAAAAACAACAACCACACCCTGAGAAAGTTAATTTGGAGTAAGACCGATCCAGCCGTCGTTATGGTGAAAAATTGAACGTTTTTCTTTTTTCTATAAAAGAAGTCCAAAAGTCTTATTATGTTGTTGTTGTTTCCCTTCCCCAGGGGAATGGATATCATCCCGGTGATCTCCTGTTGTTTCCCTTCCCCAGGGGAATGGATATCATCCCGGTGATCTCCTGTTGTTTCCCTTCCCCAGGGGAATGGATATCATCCCGGTGATAGGCATCTTGGTTTCCTGTCTCAACAAAACGACAGACAAGGACCAATGAAAGGGTAAGTTTTAGTAGAAAAACCAGGAGCCACATAACACAATTAGCATTAGGGGTGGTCCTCGGCTTGCAATAGTGACCGTTCCAAGTTACAACGGCATTGAAAAAATGACCAATTTCTATATTTTTAGCAAGCCTGGCTGCCCGGGAGTGGATTTTATTTGCCAGAGGTGAATAAATGATCAACAAGCCGTTTGTGGAAATTCCACTTCGGACTCCAGAGGGAAATCAAATCGGTAGGAAAAAAACAACTGGAAGGGAAACTAAGAATTATATCCGGGGGTGGTGGGGAATGCTGTTTTGTACTTTGGATGGTATTTCAAAATTGTGAGCATCAAAGGGCTGACTTTAAATTTTTATCGTTTTTATCGTTTTTATTTTTCTATTCGGAGCCCTTAATCAGGGATTGCGTGACTTCTGTAGGTGCTATACGCTAAATAAATAATTAGGAGTTCCGATTTTCTCCCCGAATCCCGGGATTTTTCTGGGTTTTTGTTTTTTTGTTTGCAGCAGCCGCCATTTAAAACCTCACCTTCCAAAATGTGGGCAAACTAGAAACACTCACGGTGAGAATCCCACCAGGCAAAAGGGTGATTTCCATCACGATACAGGCCACGTTCAAGGGCTGGATGCGTCTGCCCCTGTGCTATGGCTGCCTCGCAGCTCCCAGTCTTTGCAAAGGGGAGCCTCAGCCTGGAAGCTGGTCTCCAAACTCGGCGGAGGAGGCTCTGGATTCGAGTATCGCCAGCAGCACAAGGAAGAAAACAGTTTGTTCCGGACGACTCGGGTGCAAAAGACAAAGAGGATGCAATTTGCAGCTCCTTGAAAAGTGTTTCCGATTCCCTGGTGGGAAAAGGGGAGAAATTTTATTTTATTTTATTTTATTTGCTTCTGAAACAAAAAAAAAAAAGTGTCTCCTGAGCTTTTAAACAGAGTGGACTTCAATTCCCAGAATCCTTCGCTGCACATCTGGAGGCAGCTGGATGGGGGAAAGCCCATCCAGGCAACCTGTTATTGTCTGAAACTCACGTGAAGCACCACCAGGAGCCAGTTTTGGTCTGCAGGAGAGCCGGACAGGGTCAGCACAAACCGGATGGTGCTCCAGACACGCAGAAAGATGAAAATAATCGGGATTAAGGTCAGCTTCTTGTCTGCCACGGATGCTGCTCCTGGGTGGGAAGATGGGGCCCTGGACAAGATGGGCCGATACTCGGAGAGGGCTGCGTGCTGGAAAGAAAAGAGGGAATCCCTGTTAGATGGTATATTTATTTTGGATGTTTCTATTGCTTTTTGTTTTAAAATATTATGAGCTGCCCATTGACTACATGGGGGGGGGGATTATATAAATTCAATAAGTAAATAAAAGATAGATAGACAGACAGACAGACAGACAGACAGACAGAGGGATGATAGATAGATAGATAGATAGATAGATAGATAGATAGATAGATAGATAGATAGATGGATGGATGGATGGATGGATGGATGGATGGATGGACAGACAGGCATAGGGAGGGGGATAATAGATAGATAGATAGATAGACAGACAGACAGACAGACAGACAGACAGACAGACAGACAGACAGACACGGACGGACGGACGGACATAGGGAGGTAGAGAAAGAGAGAGAGATAAGATGAGATAGACAGGCAAATAGAGAGAGCAGGTAGAGAGAGACAAAGGGAGATAGGGGAGAGAGGGAGAGAGGGAAAGAGAGAGAGAGAAAGACTGATAGATGGTAGGGGAGAGAGAGATACAGGCAGACAGATAAATATAGACAGACAAATAGGCTGATGGAGAGAGATGTGTGAGAAAGAGGAGAGGCTACAGTAGACAGAGATAGCATGGAGTAAACAAGGCCATTTTCCAGAAATGTTGACTAGATTACGAATGCTCATTTCATTCCGTTTGGATTTTAGAACATAAAGGTCTGCCATGCAGGGGTGTGTGCCTAACACCCCAAACCTCCCAATGTGACTTTGTGTTATGCCCACATTCAACCAACTGTCTCTCTCTCCGCCCCCCCTCTGTAAGATTCAGCCCCAGCCTTGTTTACAGCCAATTTGACAATAAGACAGCAAATAGAAAACTGCAAAACGGGCTGGGATACCCTCCCTGGAATGGGATTAATGCAAAAAAAAAAGCCTCTTGCAGCTGCTTTTGGTTGGGGAAGGAGGAACTAGGGACTGGAGCCATCCTGCATGATACATTTCCATTGCTAAGCGAGACAGTGCCCCGTTTTACAACCTTGCTTGCCCCAGTCCTTAAGTGAATCACTGCAGTTAAGTTAGGTCTCAAAAGCGGATCACGTGAGCTCGGGACACTGCGACTCTCCTAAAGACGAGCCAGTTGCCCGTCGTCTGGATTTTGATCACGTGACCCTGGGGATGCTGCAAAGGTCGTAAGTGTGAAAAACAGTCATAAGTCTCTTTTTTTTCAGCCCCGTTGTAACTTTGAACGATCAGTAAATGAACTGTTGTAAATCGAGGACCGGCTGTATAAGCTCACCCAGGCTGATCACATTCTGGATACCCACCGCTCGGTTGATGTGCTTCTTTATCAGGATGTAAAAAACCGGCAAGGTCACGTAAGCGAGGATTTCCCACAATTTCCCTGCCAGCAGCATCCAAAGGAGCCGGTCCTCTGCATTGATGTCAATCCAGCACCAGCCCACCGAGACATCTGACGCGTCGTAACCGATTTTTTTCAAGGCCACGGCGGCTGCGGTGATGCCAAGGGGAACCCCCCAGCTGCAAAACAGGGGAGGGAAGAAGAAAAATTTGGAGCCACCAAATTGGGCAGAACAGCCCTTGCAAAACTAAAGATCTCCTTTCTGAGTTTGGGGAACGACACCCTGTGAAGGTAGGACGCCGGAACGGAAGATTAGATTTGTAAAATTGGCCGAGCTTGCTCGAATAGTAAAGCTAAAAAAACAACACAAGAGTTTTTTTAAGCTTTATGTGGGTTGGACTAGATGACCTCCAAGGTCCCTTCCAACTTTATTATTGTTGTTGTTATTATTAAATAAATAACTTTTAGTTGAAAGAAAACTAAATGGATGATTTAATGGATTTGGGGATTGAAAAGGGATAAAGAGGAAGGGGAAAGAGTAACTGCTTCATAGGGCAGAAATAATTCTATAGTTTAATAGAAATAATTTATTACATCTGTCTGTCACTCCACTTCCAGCAACTCTGGGCAGTTTATTATTCACCTTTTTTTTGGCTCTGCTCGTTTTCTCTACATTATCTTCTTAAACTGGCAACTTTCCCCCTTTTTTTTAAGCGCCCTAATCTGTTTTTATTACAAAGAAGCCATTTTAACAATGCATCAGAATAATAATAATAATAATAATAATAATAATAATAATAATAATAATAATAATAATAATAATAATAATAATAATAATAATAATAATAATTTTCAGGCAAGCGGTCGAGAACTGCTTTAGAAAACAACAGTCCTGTGTAATATTTTTTTTTCGCTTCTAACATGCCCTGGCTGGACTCCAAAATAGTGAAACCGGTTGCACAGCTGGATTATGACTGCAACCCGGACACACTCTGGTCCAATTTAATCCAGATGTGAATGAATTAGAATGAATACCCATGCCGCAGAGAGTCTCAGAGCCTTTTCTAAACCGAAGTGGCTGTCTAAAATTAGCTCCAGTTGTAAAATACCCCTCTCCTGAGTTATAAATACACTGCAGTCACAAGCAATGAGGCTGACATTTCACTAATGTAATTTTGTAGGTTATTTGCAATATAATCCCTCTTCCAGGCCGTCCCTAAATAGCCGAGGAGGTTAACCTCACTGAATTATATTTTGCACTTCTGAACCATTGGACCCATTGCTTTGCAAAACAGCATTTTTTAAAAAAAAAACACCCTCCTTAGAAGGGGCCCAACTCAAGTGAAGACTGCAGAGGTGGGACTCCACCACCCGTCAACGCAAAGCCAGAATCATATTGATGGGAAGTGTAGTTCCTCGGTGAATTTCTCCTCCTGTGGTTTCTGGATCTGGCCACGGGTTCAGGCAGGCAGGTAGGACTGGTAATCGTGCAGAGAGGCAATGGGCAGGCTCATTAGCCAAAAAGCCACACAAATTCCTAGCTGTCTGCCCCACCAAAAAACTGGATTTAATTCAAAGTGAACTATCAGCCAAAGAAAATCTAACAGGCCAGCATCTGGGAGTCTTCTGTTCTCTTTTTCATATCCCACACTGCATCCTTTGATCACAATATATATATATATAATAAAATGCATTCGGACCTGCCGTGCAATGGAGGCTTCAGGATCAATGCAAATTTACCCCTTGGAATTTTTTCCATTCTCAAACTCTTGAGCGTTTCTGCAGGTTTGGGATCACAAGTCCTATCAGCCTCAGCCAACATCGCCCCTTGGGAGGGGATGACGGGTACCAGGCCTCCAAATATCTTTAAATTCCCCTCTCCCTATTCTTTCTTAAGACAAGCCAAGGAGCAGACACGCACCCTTAATGTCACATTTTGGGGGGGGGAGGCTCAGCTGGCGCAAAGTAACCCCCCCAGCCCCCCAATCAGAATGAAAAAGTGGAAAGCTAAACATAAAATCAATTCACGCGTCAAGGAAGCCTTGAAAGAAAATCGGATGCAGAGTGCAGACGCCACCCCCCTTCGCTCGCTTGCTCAAGACTTTTTCAGAAGTGTGCGAAGGTCACAAGTCTCCCTTGTGCCACTGTTTGCACAACCACTCCAGATTTGTTGTCGAGCATCTCTACAGCCTGAGGAACTCAAAGGCATCTGATATATCACAAAGGAGGCATTCCGGAATGCAAACACTGTCTTATTTGCAATTGCTCCACCACAAACACCGTTTTTTAGGGCATCTTAAATATATATATTCATTTATCTGCCCAATTCCGGGTAGTCCTCGGCTTACGACCACAACTGAGCCTAAAATTTCCTTTGCTAAGTGAAACGTTTGTTAAGGGAGTTTGGCCCCATTTTTGCGACTGCGGTTGTTAAGTTAGTGAGCCCGACTTCCCCCGTTGACTTTGCTTGTCAGAAGGGGATCGCGCGGCCCCAGGACACCGCAAACCGTCATAAATACGAGTCAGTTGCCGAGCCTCTGAATTTGGACCACGTGATCTTGGAAAATGCTGCAACGGTCATAAGTCTGAAAAACGTTTTTCATTGCCGTTGTAACTTTGGTCGCTAAATGAACCATTTGTATGGGATAGAAGCTACCAAGGAGAAAAGACCGAGTTAGATTGTATCAGACTAATCAGAAAGATTTGGGATCTTATGTACAACAGGTCAGCCTCGTTTTATGTCCATTTGTTTAGTGACTGTTCCGAGTTACAACGGCCCTGGGGAAAAAATGACCATTTTTCCTTGCTTTCCGACCGTTGCAGCATCCCCATGATCAAAATTTGAACGCTTGGCAATTGGCTCATATTTAGGACGGCCGGGATCCGGCGATCCCCATTTGAGACCTTCTGATTCACTTAACAACCAGATCCACTTAACAACAACCCTGTTTCTAACTTCACAACTGCAGTGTGTCACTTCACTGTAACAAGAAAAATCCCCAAATGGCCCCAAACTAACTTAACGGTTTCACTTAACAGAATTTAGGGACTCCTGTGCAGTCGTAAGTTGAGGACTATTGAATTAACATTATTATTTCCACCCCAGTTTGTCAAACATAAAACTGCAACGTTAAGTATCCCCTTTGCTCCAGCTTGCTACAAAGAAGCTACAAGTATTTTTAAACAAACGTGGTTACATGGGAACCTGGGACAGGGATCTCTCTGGAGACCTGGAAGCATCGGGCATCTCTCAGCTTAGTCTACCTTGCAGGGGTGTTGCGAGGAAAGAGAAAGGAGGGCACACCCAGTTTGTTTGCTTTTGCACCAAATCGGAGGATTAATTTTGCAAAAAAAGAAAGAAATCTGGCCTTTGACAGCAAAAGCTGGTTTTCCTGGGGTTTTATTTACAGTACTTTTTTAAATTAACATTGTTGGATCGGAAAAACAGGTTCATCTCTCCAAGAATTGTAGTCTCGGCCACACCTAGCTCGCCGCCCGGAGCAAAGAGAGGCAGAATTTGGGGGCCACGGCTCCATCATCCCTGACTTTGGCTGGCTGTGGCTTGTGGGAACTGGGAACAAAGAGGCAGGCTTCTGATGCTAAGCAGAGGGGCACAATTTATTTTCCAAGCTAAGGGTCGCAAGTCTGGGCTGGGTTGTTCTTCTGCTGGGACAAACCACGTTCATTGGCCTTCCCATAAATGAAAGTCCTCTGAATCAAATAACCTCTTCAGATAGCCCCCAATACCCTAATTGCAAGGGGTGAGATTAAAAAGAAAAATTCCAATTTACAAATGAGGTTTTGTTTTCCTTCTTTTTCTGCATTCTCTACACTGGACAATCCCCAAACTTTAGAAAAAAACTCCCTTTTGAAACTCCCTCTTCACTTGGGCTCCCATCCCCTTTTCATTCCTTTTGAAAATGTGTGTCTGTGTGTGTGTGTGTGTTGCATTTTACAAGGCAAGACAAAACCACTTTGATTTGAGCTGGGGAATTGGAAAAAGGAAGAACGTTTTTAAAACACACACACACACACACACACACACACCAATAAAGATTATTTATTAATTGTTGGCCCCGTTCTAGCCTTTTGGGGATGGTTAAATGCAGCCCTTTTCTTTGGCCGGCTTCTTCTACCCCCAAGGGGCATCGCAAGGCGCTAGTCCTCTGCAACCCTGCTTTTGGGGAGGGGACAGGAGGTAGAGAGAAGGGAGATGGAAGACTGGACACACACACACACACACACAGGTAGAGAGGAGACGGGGGGGGGGGAAGAGGCCACCCACCTCACCTCACCAAGTGGAAGAAGCCGAGCAAGCCGGCGGAGCCGGGGGAGCCGCGGACTATGGCGAAGTAGAGGTCCAGGGCGATGGCCACGGTCCAGAAGAAGGAGCTGGTGTTGGCGAAGGTGGAGAGGGCGCCCTGCGCCACGCAGTCCCAGGACGAGGCCTCGAAGTCCTTCAGCACCCCGTAGGCGTAGGAGGCGGCGGAGAGCAGGTCGGCCCCGGAGAGGCAGGAGAGCAGCTGGCGCGGCCGCGTCCGGAGCTCCGGCCAGCGGGCCTGGGTGCCCAGCAGCAGGCAGCAGCCCAGCACCGACAGGGCGCAGGAGAGCAGCACCACCCCGCGCTCCCAGGGGGAGACCAGCGTGGCGGGGGGATCCCGCAGGAGCATGGCGGGGAAAAGGGAGAGGGGGGCGAGAGGGAAAGGGGAAAGAGAGAGAGAAAGGAGAAGGAAAGGGAAAGCGGAAAGGGAAAGCGGAAAGAAAGGGAAAGGGGCGAGCGAGGAACGCAAAAGGGGGTCTCCGGAGCGCAAAAGCCGCGCTGCCGACCGTCCTCCTCGCTCTCCAGGCAGCTCCGGGGCGCGGCTCCCCTTCCCTCCGGCTGCGGGGGGGGGGGGAAAGGGTAGACGGCGCCGGGTTCTGCAGGGCGGAGGCACCGGAGCCCCAGCCGGGAAGGGCCCGACGCCCCACGGCGCGCCACACACACACACCCACACCCACACCCCCACCCAGCCCGGTGACTGGCGTGACTCCTCCTTTCGGGCCGCTCCGCCTGCGCTCTGGCGCCGGTCGGAAGCCTTCCCCCCCCTCCCCCGCCAAGGAGAGGGCGGCTCCTGAGCATGCACAGAGTGCGAGTCCGGAGCTCTGCTGGGGAGGGTCTCTAAGGCCCTCCCGGGATTGCCAAAGGTGGCTTTCAAGAGGGTGGGCCGCCCAAAGAGGCTGGGTGTCCCGCGGGGGGGGGGGGGAGGATCGCTGCTGTGTCTCTGCAGGAGTCCCTGTTCTGGCCCACAAGCTGTGTCGGGTCTGGGCGGACGGGAGTTTACTGGGATAGACTGGCAGATGCCGATCCCATCTGTGCATACAGATTTTTTTTGGGAGGGGGGGGGCGAGAGGACACGGTCAGGGGAGTGTGCCTGTGCTGTCTCTGTTCTGTAAAAGGTGCTTTTTTAAAAAAAAATTTAAAAAATTTAATCCTGCCCTGCTGGAATGCAGGAAAGCAGCCAATACAATACAATACAATAAAGCTTGAAATATCCTGCCTCAGTTTCTTGAGCGTAAACCCGATTAGAAGACAAGGACACGTTTGATTGGCTCGACAGAGTGTGAATTTGACAGGACTTATAGTGCAGGAAAGAGGCACTGAGATTCCGCGTTTCCCAAAACCAGGCGTAAACCGGGATTCATTTCGTTTTATTCATCCGAGCGTTGAGTGTCACAGAAACACACGTTTCTGTGCCAAACGTTTTCTCTTGTCAAAACTCCAACCTACAGATTTTTTACCTTTCCAATCTGAATTTAGCCCATTGGGCTAAGGAGTGGTTTATTTAAAGGGGGTTTATTTAAAAACTCTTGTTTAATTTAATAAACGGTGGTTTGTTTAAAGACTGCACTCACACAGCACCCTAATGGCAAACCAACCGTATCACTGGGGTGACGTGATAGCAATATTTGAGGGGCTGCCCCAAAGAAATGGGGGTCAAGCTATTCTCCAAAGCACCAGAAGGCAGGACAAGAAACAATAGACGGAAACTCATCAAGGAGAGAAGCATCCTGGAATTAAGGAGAAACTTCCTGACCTGACAGGGAGGACAATTAACCAGTGGAACAGCTTGCCACCAGAAATCGTGTGTGCTCCATCACTGGAGGTTTCTAAGAAAAGACTATTTATTTATTTATTTTTTATTTATATTTGAATTTATATCCCGCCCTTCTCCCGTAGGACTCAGGGCGGCTGACAATCTATTTAAAATACATATAAAACAATACAAATTTAAAATTAATTAAAAGGAATATTAAATATTTGTCGAATTTAAAATATAATTAAAACCCCCCTAAAAATTACCCTAGGCCAGTCCTGCAAGCTGGAATAACCAAGTCTTGAGGGCGCGGCGAAAGGAAGGGAGATCAGGGATAACCCTGATCTCTGGGGGCAGTTCATTCCAGAGGGTGGGANCCGTTGACTTTGCTTGTCAGAAGGGGATCGCGCGGCCCCAGGACACCGCAAACCGTCATAAATACGAGTCAGTTGCCGAGCCTCTGAATTTGGACCACGTGATCTTGGAAAATGCTGCAACGGTCATAAGTCTGAAAAACGTTTTTCATTGCCGTTGTAACTTTGGTCGCTAAATGAACCATTTGTATGGGATAGAAGCCACCAAGGAGAAAAGACCGAGTTAGATTGTATCAGACTAATCAGAAAGATTTGGGATCTTATGTACAACAGGTCAGCCTCGTTTTATGTCCATTTGTTTAGTGACTGTTCCGAGTTACAACGGCCCTGGGGAAAAAATGACCGTTTTACCACGCTTTACGACCGTTGCAGCATCCCCATGATCAAAATTTGAACGCTTGGCAATTGGCTCATATTTAGGACGGCCGGGATCCGGCGATCCCCATTTGAGACCTTCTGATTCACTTAACAACCAGATCCACTTAACAACAACCCTGTTTCTAACTTCACAACTGCAGTGTGTCACTTCACTGTAACAAGAAAAATCCCCAAATGGCCCCAAACTAACTTAACGGTTTCACTTAACAGAATTTAGGGACTCCTGTGCAGTCGTAAGTTGAGGACTACCGAATTAGCATTATTATTTCCACTGCAGCTTGTCAAACATAAAACTGCAACGTTAAGTATCCCCTTTGCTCCAGCTTGCTACAAAGAAGCTACAAGTATTTTTAAACAAATGTGGTTACATGGGAACCTGGGACAGGGATCTCTCTGGAGACCTGGAAGCATCGGGCATCTCTCAGCTTAGTCTACCTTGCAGGGGTGTTGCGAGGAAAGAGAAAGGAGGGCACACCCAGTTTGTTTGCTTTTGCACCAAATCGGAGGATTAATTTTGCAAAAAAAGAAAGAAATCTGGCCTTTGACAGCAAAAGCTGGTTTTCCTGGGGTTTTATTTACAGTACTTTTTTAAATTAACATTGTTGGATCAGAAAAACAGGTTCATCTCTCCAAGAATTGTAGTCTCGGCCACACCTAGCTCGCCGCCCAGAGCAAAGAGAGGCAGAATTTGGGGGCCACGGCTCCATCATCCCTGACTTTGGCTGGCTGTGGCTTGTGGGAACTGGGAACAAAGAGGCAGGCTTTTGATGCTAAGCAGAGGGGCACAATTTATTTTCCAAGCTAAGGGTCCCAGTCTGGGCTGTATTATTCTTCTGCTGGGACAAACCACGTTCATTGGCCTTCCCATAAATGAAAGTCCTCTGAATCAAATAAGCTCTTCAGATAGCCCCCAATACCCTAATTGCAAGGGGTGAGATTAAAAAGAAAAATTCCAATTTACAAATGAGGTTTTGTTTTCCTTCTTTTTCTGCATTCTCTACACTGGACAATCCCCAAACTTTAGAAAAAACTCCCTTTTGAAACTCCCTCTTCACTTGGGCTCCCATCCCCTTTTCATTCCTCTTGAAAATGTGTGTCTGTGTCTGTGTCTCTCTGTGTGTGTGTGTTGCATTTTATAAGGCAAGACAAAACCACTTTGATTTGAGCTGGGGAATTGGAAAAAGGAAGAACGTTTTTTTTAAAACACACACACACACACACACACACACACACCAATAAAGATTATTTATTAATTGTTGGCCCCGTTCTAGCCTTTTGGGGATGGTTAAATGCAGCCCTTTTCTTTGGCCGGCTTCTTCTACCCCAAGGGGCATCGCAAGGCGCTAGTCCTCTGCAACCCTGCTTTTGGGGAGGGGACAGGAGGTAGGGAGAAGGGAGATGGAAGACTGGACACACACACACACACACACAGGTAGAGAGGAGACGGGGGGGGGGAAGAGGCCACCCACCTCACCTCACCAAGTGGAAGAAGCCGAGCAATCCGGCGGAGCCGGGGGAGCCGCGGACTATGGCGAAGTAGAGGTCCAGGGCGATGGCCACGGTCCAGAAGAAGGAGCTGGTGTTGGCGAAGGTGGAGAGGGCGCCCTGCGCCACGCAGTCCCAGGACGAGGCCTCGAAGTCCTTCAGCACCCCGTAGGCGTAGGAGGCGGCGGAGAGCAGGTCGGCCCCGGAGAGGCAGGAGAGCAGCTGGCGCGGCCGCGTCCGGAGCTCCGGCCAGCGGGCCTGGGTGCCCAGCAGCAGGCAGCAGCCCAGCACCGACAGGGCGCAGGAGAGCAGCACCACCCCGCGCTCCCAGGGGGAGACCAGCGTGGCGGGGGGATCCCGCAGGAGCATGGCGGGGGCGAGAGGGAAAGGGGAAAGAGAGGGGGAGGTGGGGGCGCGAAAGGGAAAGGGGAAAGAGAGAGAGAAAGGAGAAGGAAAGGGAAAGCGGAAAGAAAGGGAAAGGGGCGAGCGAGGAACGCAAAAGGGGGTCTCCGGAGCGCAAAAGCCGCGCTGCCGACCGTCCTCCTCGCTCTCCAGGCAGCTCCGGGGCGCGGCTCCCCTTCCCTCCGGCTGCGGGGGGGGGGGAAAGGGTAGACGGCGCCGGGTTCTGCAGGGCGGAGGCACCGGAGCCCCAGCCGGGAAGGGCCCGACGCCCCACGGCGCGCCACACACACACACCCACACCCACACCCCCACCCAGCCCGGTGACTGGCGTGACTCCTCCTTCGGGCCGCTCCGCCTGCGCTCTGGCGCCGGTCGGAAGCCTTCCCCCCGCCAAGGAGAGGGCGGCTCCTGAGCATGCACAGAGTGCGAGCCCGGGGCTCTGCTGGGGAGGGTCTCTAAGGCCCTCCCGGGATTGCCAAAGGTGGCTTTAAAGAGGGTGGGCCGCCCAAAGAGGCTGGGTGTCCCGCGGGGGGGGGGGAGGATCGCTGCTGTGTCTCTGCAGGAGTCCCTGTTCTGGCCCACAAGCTGTGTCGGGTCTGGGCGGACGGGAGTTTACTGGGATAGACTGGCAGATGCCGATCCCATCTGTGCATACAGATTTTTTTTGGGGGGGGGGGGAGAGGACACGGTCAGGGGAGTGTGCCTGTGCTGTCTCTGGTCTGTAAAAGGTGCTTTTAAAAAAAAAATTTTTTTTTAAATTTAATCCTGCCCTGCTGGAATGCAGGAAAGCAGCCAATACAATACAATACAATAAAGCTTGAAATATCCTGCCTCAGTTTCTTGAGCGTAAACCCGATTAGAAGACAAGGACACGTTTGATTGGCTCGACAGAGTGTGAGTTTGACAGGACTTATAGTGCAGGAAAGAGGCACTGAGATTCCGCGTTTCCCAAAACCAGGCGTAAACCGGGATTCATTTCGTTTTATTCATCCGAGCGTTGAGTGTCACAGAAACACACGTTTCTGTGCCAAACGTTTTCTCTTGTCAAAACTCCAACCTACAGATTTTTTACCTTTCCAATCTGAATTTAGCCCATTGGGCTAAGGAGTGGTTTATTTAAAGGGGGTTTATTTAAAAACTCTTGTTTAATTTAATAAACGGTGGTTTGTTTAAAGACTGCACTCACACAGCACCCTAATGGCAAACCAACCGTATCACTGGGGTGACGTGATAGCAATAGTTGAGGGGCTGCCCCAAAGAAATGGGGGTCAAGCTATTCTCCAAAGCACCAGAAGGCAGGACAAGAAACAATAGACAGAAACTGATCAAGGAGAGAAGCATCCTGGAATTAAGGAGAAACTTCCTGACCTGACAGGGAGGACAATTAACCAGTGGAACAGCTTGCCACCAGAAATCGTGTGTGCTTCATCACTGGAGGTTTCTAAGAAAAGACTAGACTCAAGTGTCTCCTGCTTGAGCAGGGGGTTGGACTAGAAGACCTCCAAGGTCCCTTCCAACTCTTGTTATTGTTATGGATGTGGATAAAGGTACAAAGAGAAGGAATGACAGTACCTCACTCGGAAACTGGGTTAAAGTTCTCAACTTTCTCCCTTCTGTCTGCTCCTAAGTGTTCGGCACCCAGCCTGGTCCGCCGATTTTGAATCAATGAAACTTTTGCTGGCGGGATGCTAAACCACGGGTAAAAAGCTCAATTCCCTTAAGTCAGACTGACTGCTCTTTAAAAAAAAAAAACCTAAGGGAAAATAAAATATAAATATATCAACGCCCTCCAAGGCTTGGGCGCAAAGCACCACGTTTTCCTTCTTTCTAGGTTTCACAGAGTTGTTTTCCCCATAACGGAGATCTGTTGGGTTCAACACCCGTTTATCGCTTTTTAGAAAACTCGGGGAAACAAGAGGAAAGCTGAACCAAAATTCACTCCTTTCTTCCCAAATCGGGAGCTTGCGGCCTTCGCAGCTGCCCATTTCCTGTTTTCCCACCAATTTTCCATCTTCCTGATACTTCTAGGAGAAAAAGGCTGTTTCCGGCAGGCTTGCAAAGGTAAAGCACTTCTGAAGCAGTATGCTTGCTGATTGCTTCTTCAGTCATCACATTCAACAACCAGCTAAGACACTGCCAAAGAAACACTCACAAGGGGTGCCGTTTTTCACCCCCTCTTCCTTTCCTCCGATGGTGCGGCCCCTGTGCAGAGCAAAAGGAAAGAGATGTGATTCAAAAAGGAACAGGAAAAAACAAGAACAACAAATGCTTCAGTTAAACGGGACTAGAAACTTGATTCCGATGCCCTGGATTTGAAAGCATCTGCGGTAAAATGCCATCGGGTCATTTTAGGAAATTATTTTCAATCGGCCATCCTTTTTTTCTCTCTCTCTCTTCCACTTAGGCCACATCTGTCCACTAGCCCAGCTGAGCTATGCCTGCAAGGCCCCTGGACACCCCTAAAACACTTCCGCGTGAGAATAAAAGCGATGCTGCTGGCACTTGGCAGATCCTTTTGCTGGATCCCGGAAGGGATCTACCCAGGAATCCTTTCCAAAAGTAGAAAGCTCAGATCCGAGGCCATGTGGGATTCCTAGGAGTCATAGCTGAATGATCACAAACTATCCTGAGTCATGCAAGTATTAGAGATATGGCAGGAGAGAGGGAGGGAGGGAGGGAGGGAAGGAAGGAAGGAAGGAAGGAAGGAAGGAGGGAGGGAGGGAGGGAGGGAGGGAGGGAGGAAGGAAAGAAAGAAAGAAAGGAAGGAAGGAAGGAAGGAAGGAAGGAAGGAAGATGAAAATAATCTGAAATAGGAGAAATCCTACTAATGTTATCTGCTATTGCATTCAAGAGGGCACAAAAGAAAATTTTACTCTACTTTAAGGAAATCACACCCAAACACACAGTGGTGCATGTAAGCCAAGTTTCTAGACATCAACTTTGCAAAAAAAAAACAAAAAACCAAAATACCTCCCGTATCCAGCCATCAGGTTTCTAGTCCTCAAGGTGGCAAAAAAAGTATGACTTTGAGTACTGTAAAAGGGGGGAAATGTCAGACGGTGTCTCAGCTGTCAAAGTAGACCTTTGACACCTTAAGTTGCAACACAAAGAAATGGCAATGACTTTTCCTACTGGGCAAAGCTATTCAAGTATACCCACTAAACAAACTTAGCTGGCAAAAACGACTTTTTTAAATGTTCGGTACCTACGTGAAGCACAACAAACCTCAAAATCCTTTGTATGAATGCCTTCCTTAACCCAACCAGAAAAAATATCCAAGTTTAGTTATTAGACCAACAATGTTTAGAAAAAGTGAATGTCTCGACATTGAAAGAGCACAAGAATGTATTTTTTGTTATCAAAGAAAGAAAGAAAGAAAGAAAGAAAGAAAGAAAGAAAGAAAAAGAAAAAAGAAAGAAAGAAAGAAAGAAAGAAAGAAAGAAAGAAAGAAAGAAAGAAAGAAAGAAAGAGAAGGAAGGTATGGAAGGAAGGAAGGAAGGAAGGAAGGAAAGAAAGAAAGAAAGAAAGAAAGAAAGAAAGAAAGAAAGAAAGAAAGAAAGAGAAGGAAGGAAGGAAGGAAGGAAGGAAGGAAGGAAGGAAGGAAGGAAGGAAGGAAGGAAAGAAAGAAAGAAAGGGAGGGAAGGAAGGTATGGAAGGAGGGAGGGAAAAAGGAAGGGAGGGAGGGATAAAATGGAGGGACAGGGGACAAAATGAAGGGAGGGAGGGGATAAAATGGAGGGAGGGAAGGAAGAAAGGAATAAGGAAGGAAGGAAGGAAGGAAGGGAGAGGAGGGAAGAAGGAAGGGAGGAAGGGAGAGAGAGAGAGAGAGGGAGGGGATAAAATGGAAGGAGGGAAGGAAAGGAGAGGAGGGAAGAAGGAAGGAGGGAAGAAGGAAGGAGTAGGAGACAGGGAGGAAGGAGGAGTAGAGAAAGTCAGAAAGAAAGAAAGAAAGAAAAGAGAAAGGAAGGGAAAAACAGAAAGAGACAAAAAAAAAGTAGAGGAGAAATAAAATAAAAAAGGCACCGGGAGGAAAAGCAGAGTGTTGAGTCTCCCAGAGGCATCTTTCTCCTTCTCCTTCCGCAGGTGGGAAAAAACGCCAGTCCGGAGTTGCCCCACCACAGGCCACAGGTCTGGCAAAGGAGCACCCTCCTCCCTCTGGGTGGGGCCTCTCCCAGGTAGCCTTTTAACCCAGTGTGGTCACACCGGGGTGTGTGTGTGTGTTTGTGTCTCTCTTTCTCTCTCTCTCATGCACACACGTTTTACACAGCAAAGACCAACCTTTGGCTGGGGTGAGCTGTCTCCAGCCACACCTGTCCAGATCATCCAGAACTGGAAAAAGCGACAAGGGTGTGTGTGTGTGTATGTCACACAACTCACTTTGTTTGAATGTCATCTTTTGGCTACATCCTGGTCCAGGCTACTGCACACAGAGAAGGCAGGAATGCAAAAGTAAGCTGGGGGGAGGGAGGGACAGCCCGAGCTGAAAACCTAAACAGATCCTCAAGTTGCTAGTCCTTTTGAATCGATCTTCCTTGGGGGTTTTTCTGCCTTTAGAGTCGTGTAAATGAGTTTGACCTGAGTTTCCAGGTCGATTTTATTCTGGAAATCCTTTTATGTGGTAAAGAGGCAGGAAGCATTAAGGTTGTTGTTGTTTTTTCCCCAAAAAAGGAGACTTTAGAAGTTCAGGGTACTGTAAACTTTGGGGAGAAAGAGGTTTGATCCCCAGCCCAACAACTCCGTCCATTCTCAGCCAAATTATTTCCCCAGGAAAGGTGAGAGGTAGAGAAATTAATGGGAGTGACCAAAGGGCAGCTCACACCCTAAACACATACATACACACGCTCAGGAGTGACTCACTGGCAGCCAGAAACCCCGCAGCAAATAAGAGAACCCGGGCTGTTAGGGACCCACAAAAACACATCAGCATTACGCAACCGTTGACAGAGATTGCTGACTAATGGAGTCAT